AAAAATACTAAATTAAATACTAAAATCGAAAAAAATATCCATGCTTTTAAATATGTTGGTGAAATATGGAAGGTATGGGTCAGTTGACTCTTCGTATGTTTCCAATTTTTAACGTTAGGTGTGGGGGAACCTAGGGGAAATTTATTCAAAAAGCTCCAGTAAACACTATGTGAGCATATTACAGTCAAATCTTAAGATTAGTGCCTTCGAAATGGACTTGGGCAAGTTTATATCTTGGCAAGATAATAAGCTTAAGCACTTGATAAAGTTAAAAAATAACATTACTGAAGGAAAACACACTGAAAAATTGGAATATGTTGCTCAGAGCACCGCCCTAAATCTATTAGATTAATTTTGAACCACAATTGATCAAAAAATTCCGATGAAATAGTGATCAAAAACGGATTTCTATTGAAAATAATCATATGGGGAAAGCAAGAGAAGGGAAGGTGATTGCGGATAATAATGGTGAAAAAATAACAAAATGGTTTAAGTTGATCCAAATATTAAAATCAGAACCGAAATAGTTTATAAATATTGATATACAAGAAATTTAAATAATGATATATAAAATGTATACCCTTATTCTATAACTAAAACCTTCGTTCTGTTAACGTTGTTAACATGAATTTTTAAATTTTTGTATTCTATAAACATTTTGTGTAAAATATTATGTTTTTTAACATAAAAGTGCTCTGTTAGTAACAAAACGAAATGTCAATTTCGACGATAGGTTTTTTGTAGTGATTGTCGTTTCATAATTTCTTTAAATTGCAAGAAAAATTTTTTGTGTTTTATGCGAAATCCGTTATTCACATGAACAACAGACATCATTTCCCAGTTTGAAAATTTCATTAAGACGTCTTATGGAAATGACTTGTCAGAGTCGGTGCTGAATTCGTCATGTGTTCCCATACAAAAAACTTCATGATACCCCCTGACATTTTCATATACTTTGTCAAATTTCCATAAGACAGAATCGACGTATATCAGCAGTAATGACAAATGTATGAAATGTCATAAAAGGTCAGCAGTTATTTTCAGCAATTGGTCATTAGTGAGGTCTATAAAGTGGAATGTCAATTAGCTGCCAAGATAATGCCATAACAAAAAGAGTACACATTGAGTACCAACGGAAGAATTTATTATACATTATTAAAAGAACATTTCAAAACGTCACACAACATAAGTATATGCACTTGTGCATACATAAATATAAAACAAAATTTAAATTCTTAAACTGAAGAAACTATAATAATCTTTGATCCTTGACCTCTTTACGATTTCAATCCCCAATTTTGTTTCTGGATTAAATTCCTCAAGAAATTGTTTCGCAGCTAATTCATCTTAAATTTAAAAACAAATGTTAAAGAGTAGATACATCTTTATTAAATGTACGATATAGATATTATGATACGGCAATTTCATTTTGTTTGTCCACGTTTAAGATATGAAAATTTTTAAAAATTTTTTTTGATGATAAATTTTTTGTATTTAAATTTTGATTTATTTATTTAGATAGAATTTTCAAAGTCTTAAGAATATATTTCCAATAATTTTTCACTATGATTCGTTTAAAGAAAACGAATTAAAACGTAAAGAGATACATGTTTTTATAATTATTAGCATTACTATAAAACATTTTACTTAATTTAATTAGAAAATTATGCCTATGATGACAACTTACTGTCGTGTCACTCAGACATCTTATATCAACTGTCAGTGCAAGTCAACTGCAGAAAAGGTGCTGACTTGTCTTGAAGTCATCTAATGAAAATGTCATCACCTGATGACTTGTACATAAAGAGTCAGTAGTGACAATGTCGTTAAGACACAATTTGCAACTGAGTTATTCATATTTCTAATCACCTAAGTATATAAAAGTACATTATAAAAGAGTAGCTTTACTGAATGATTCATCATCTCACAGCCCAAGCGTCTGAACCAAGAATAATGAAATTTTGACCGTAGTTGTATTTTTGGAAGGATATTTGGAAATTCAAAATTTAGGGGTAAAAAAGAAGAAAAAACGGGGCAAAACAGATTTTCTTGTACAAACTATACAGATAAAAGAAAAATGTTGGATTAATCGGCATCTACTTCTAAAAATAGAAATTCGAACGTTTAGGGGGTAAAAACGTATAAAAAATTATTTTGGTACCTTTTATGGCTCTTTATAACATTTTAACTAAAACTGCTGGATGCCTTTAGACCTTTGATTGTCGTCTTAACGGTAGAGAATTGGCATTTTATTGAGCGTGGAACCACATTATTTACAATGTTAGCACTAATAGAAGAATCTGTATTATTTTGAGTAGACACATTCTCCAAATGATTGGCGAATGCTTAAATTTTTTTCTGACGTATTTCTTGCCCATTCACCATTCTGGAGACGTATGGGTGACTCATATGCAATATGGCATTGCATATTTTTTACAGCTTTCCAGAGACTATATTCTGTTTTCTTAGTATGGTCTAAGTTTTTGAGATAATTTCTCAGATTAAATTCCTTATTATTATTTAAGGCGATGCCAAAGAAGACTTCACATCGCGATGTGAATTTATTAACCTTTATGTTTGGAGATCGCGATTGTGGCCATTGACGTCTGAGTGTTCTCTTTTCTTTAATAAGAGACTCAATGTTCCTAGGACATTACGAATTTTTGTAGTCTCCGAAGGTGACTGGGGGTGTAGACACATTGACAGCATCTTGTAATATATCCGAAAATATATCGACAGCGGATTGTATTTCATGGTAATTTTTCAATGACATGTTTTGTGGCAAGTGTGAGCTAACATACATTTTATACATTAACCATTTCGTCTTCTTGTTAGGAAAACAAGAACAATAGTTTTCCAATTTATTTGGGGTTTCTAATAACGTTAACACTGCAGGTGAGTGGTCTGACGAGAGGTCCAGTGAAGGGATCACTGAAATAAATTCTCGTTTTATTGCAATATAATCACCAGCTGCTATGAATCTTGGGCCAAGAGTTTTAAAGTATTCGAGAAACTGCTCTCGATTAACATTATACCTAGGAGTACAATATATTGAAGATATTGTAACTCTACTATCAGGTATATTTATAGAGGTGGCCTGGATATGGTCCTTTTTGTATTCTGGCATTGGGAAATGTCTAATATTTTTATACCCTCCACTACCATCAGTGGTGATAGAGGGTATATATACATAAGTTTGTCATTCCGTGTGTAACACCAAAAAACATTCATCTGAGACCCAACAAAGTATATATTTTCCGGGTCCTTATCAAATTCTGATTCGATTTAGCCATGTCCGTCTGTCTACCTGTCTGCCTAAAACACGCTTACGTTAAAATTAAGCAAAAGAAATAAACCAAATTCACCAAAAATATTCATTATTGTCCTAAGCAGTTTGGTATTGAAAATCAGCAAAATTGGTTCACAACGTTAAAAGTTATGAGTAAAAATTTCAGACTACTTCGAAAAAAAATATGTTTTTTCGTAATTCTTAAGCAGTTTTCTCAGCAACTACAAAAGATAATTCGATGAATTTTGTCACACGTCATTTTTTTTACCCAGTGATCAATAATGTTCAAAATCATAACAATCGATCCAAAATTTCCATTTTCCTCCATACAAAAGTACATATTTCCGGAAGTGGATTTATCGTTAATAACTTCCTCAAATATATCAGTATCAACTCAAAATTTGCACATATAAAATATAATATGAACAGAAATCATACCACTAACTTATCGGTCCACAATGGGTCATGGCTCCCATATAAATCCTACTTCCGAAAATAACTTAAACGCGTATATATCATTGATAAATAAAGCTATCGAAATAAAATTCTACATGAATATGTTTTGTGTATATATCAATCACTTTACGAATTTTTTCGGCCATAGCTCCCACATAAGGTCAACTTCCGAAAATCACTTAAACCCACACATTTCATTAACTAATAAAGCTATCGGGGTAAAATTCAACGTGAATATGTTTTGTGTAAATAGAAATGATTATGCGGAATTTTTTCCAGATCAGTCCATAATTAGTCATAGCTCCCATATAAGGGTCACTTCTGAAATAATGTGTATATAGAAATAATTATACGGAATATTTTCCAGATCAGTCCATAATTAGTCATAGTTCCCATATAAGGGTCACTTCTGAAAGTCAATTAATAGGGGCTTTTTTTAATCACTGGATTTATTTTATTTCAAGAAAAAACTATCTTTGGAAGCTGAAATTTAGTTTTGGTCATTATTATCTGAAAATACACTGTATATGCTAATAGAAGGTCAAACAAAAATTAATTGTAGTGCCAAAATGGCGGTTCTGCAGCTAAAAGAAGTAAATCCAAATTGGATTTATTAAATCCAAAAAAATAGTTGGATTTAGCTAATTTCAATATGGTAATGCTTTGTATTCATAGAACAAAACCAAATAATTTTAAAATAAATTAATTTGTTTTATTTTGCTATTCACCAATAGATGGCAAATATTTTTTAAAATGTGTAAAAATAGGAAAATAAACAAAATTCATGTAACTAAAATATTTCAGTGCAAATACCAATTTTTGCAACAAATTGTTACAAATTTTTTGGAAAATTTATAATTTTAATATTAAATTTTGAAATAACTCCATCTGTCGGCCGCTGCTTACATTATGATTTGAAATTTGTTTAGCATCGATTAAAACCTTTTGCCTTATCCACCTGGCGTGCAGTGCAAGAACTAAAATTTGGATTTAATAAATCCAATTGTTTAAAAAATGCTGCTAAAAGGGGTTTTACACTACAATACTTTGTATTATGATTATAGTTGTATTTTTAATAATACAAAATCATTTTCATTGTCATGATGTAGTTTGGCTTGTATTATAAAAAATATTGTAAGGCTTTACATTATTGTACAAAATAATAAAAGAAGTATTAATACATTTTGCTTGTCAAAAATATAATTATTTTAAATAACATTTGAATATTTTAATTTCAACGAATTTATATCGCAAGGATTTGCAAAAATGGATGAAGTTGCGGGTAGTTACCATTTTAATAAGTTTAATTAAAAAGAAGAAGGAAAAGAAGAATTTGAAAAATAAGATAGTTAAAAAAAGGTCTCTATGGAGTCGAGAGTGGCTAAAAAAAAGAAATTCTGGTAAAGATTTAAGTAACATGGTGCTGAAAGAACTTCAACTGGAGGACCCACCAAGTTTTGAAAATTTTTGCAGGCTTCCGAAACATCTTTTTAATAAACTGTTAGAAATTGTTGGGCCAACAATAACGAAGCAGGACACAATCCTTAGGCAAGCGATACCAGCCAGTACCAGGTTGATAAATTAATTTAAAGTGTTCTTCATAATATTGTATAATAATCTTACGAGCAGGTTGCTTATTACACTTCGGTATTTGTCAACTGGTAATACATTTACAGATATGTCCTATAGTTTTAGAGTATCAGTTCCAGCCATATCCATATTATTCCTGAAACGCTAAAAGCTATTTATTACAATTTAAAAGACGTTTATTTAAAGGTAAATATGTTTGTTTTTAAATGCATATAATAATATTTACTTTATTGCATTAAAAGGGGTGCACAACAACTGAAGAATGGCTGGATGTGGCTACAGAATTTAATAATAAATGGAATTTCCCTATGTGCCTTGGAGCGATAGGTTTGATTCTTTATATCATTTAATTTAAAATACAATTATCAGCTTTTTTATATACATATATGTACACATGTAGACGGTAAGCACATTGCAATAAGGGCAAAGAAGTCTGATGGATCCTTTATTATAATTATAAAGGATTTAAATAGCATCATTCTCATGGCTTTTGTGGATGCTGATTATAAATTTATATTTGTGATGTCGGGTCAAATGGAAGAGCAAATGACGCTTCAGTTTTTAATCAATCTGAGATAGGAATTGCAATTCGCAATGAAGCTCTCAATTTTCCAGAAAATCAAGAGTTTACCTGGTTCAGACGTTAAGGTTTGGTTAGGTAAAATTGGAAACTTTGTATTTTATCTAATAAATCCAAATTTTCAAGGTTCCCTTTGTATTTGTTGCTGACGAAGCTTTTCGACTTTCAACTAGAATTTTAAAGCCATATTCACAAAGAAATGAACATGAAAATAAAATATTTAATTACAGACTTTCCCGGGCAAGAAGGGTATCCGAAAATTGTTTTGGTCAACTAGTCAATCGGTTCCAAATTCTTCTAAAAGAAATCACTTTAGATGTTGAAAAAGCAGAACTTATTACTTTAACCTGTTGTGTTCTACATAATTTTTTAAAAATAGAAAACCACAATGACGACTCTTTTCAATGTACTCAAAGAAATGCAACCTTAACAACTATTGAACATAGCCCGGGCCACAGATCTTCTAATGATGCATCTGCAGTCAGAGATATTTTCAGAACATACTTTAATAATGAGGGACAAGTTTCCTGGCAAGCATAGGCTGTAACAAAATTTAACTTTATTAAAACAAATATATATGTACTTTTAAAACAAACAGTATTTTATTATGTGTTATTATGTATACATACATATTACTATAAATAAAATGTAGAACTAACTATTTTAATTGCTATGTTCAATTATTAGCGTCATAATTTTTTTAATCAGTGTTTTTCTTTCTTGAGCGTTTTCAATAGACAATAAATGTTCTCTAACGAAATTTGAAAAGCTTTCAATATATGGATCAATTTGCTTTTTATTTGCTAGCGTTTTAAGTGCTTCTGTTGCTGCCTTTAAAGCATCATCTTCTTCACTTAATTCAACTGTTTGGCGTTTTGTTTCATGAACAGTTGAATCTAATGAAATCTTCTTTGGTGGTGAGGAATCTTCATCGGAAATTATTTGGCTCTGAAAATATTATAATTTTTATTAATAGAAACTCTGCAATTAATTCATTAATTTCTATTATTCGTATTGTTGTATGATGTTGCCCAAAATATATTGCGTTTAGTGGTGTCCGCTCGTGCGATGAATATATTAAAAAAGAAGTAAACGAATTATTAAATATTTCGGATTCGAGAACAGTAATCATAAAATAAAACAAGTAAGAGTGCTATATTCGGCTATGCCGAATCTTAAAGACCCACCATCACTACATGTGACGTAAATTTTAAGTAAATTCGGAAGGTGGATATATTCAAAATACATACATATATACATATGTACGTATGCCCTTCATGAGTCGATCCTTTTTTATTTGACCGCGATTTAATCATTCAACATTTATGCTGAGTTTTAATATGAACATCACAATGATTTCATACATACATATGTATGCCTGAGTTGGTCTTATATTCACTTACCATTTCTAAACTGTTTTTCCCCTTTCTTATTTTGATATATTCACGTAAAAACTTAAGTTCATCATACCAGTACACCGACGGTACGTAAACTTCGTCGGTACCCATTCCACTTCTTGTGAATTCTTTTTGTTTTTGAATTTCTCTGGCGTACTGGCTTCTTAGATAACTTATTTTTACCTGTAATTAAAATACATCCATATATTATTCCACAATAATACTTTTTAAGCTCTTGATAGTGGATGAGAGGAATATAATGGAATTCGACACAATCAAAACTCTTAAGGTAACTTACTTTTACATCATTTACTTTAATATCTGGAATTAATTCCTGCAAATTTTTAGTAATTTTTTCAAGAGCTTCGTTTCTTGAATGCTTGTTATGGTATAATTGGTTCCTCGGGTTGTAAAGACATGGATATTCCTGCCACAGATTGATTAGCTTTAAAACCGAGTTCTTGTCCCACTCCACCTATATTTGAATATACTTCATTGTTTGCATATATTATATATATGTATATATATTAAAAAACTTACCTTTATTGCACAAATATTTTCCATTTCCATTTCAATTTCCATTTTTGTATTTTTTATTTTAAAACATCAAAAATGACTTTATTCAAATGAAATGAACTCTGGTATTAAGTAAAATATATCTTTTAAAAATTTCAATACT